CTGATACCAGTTGTTAGGGATTTAAAACAATCAAATCAAACATGTACCCTTCCAGATTTTGTGTTTGAGTTGAGCAAGAAATAAATTCACCACAAATCAAAGATAAAAATTTATAGGAAAGTAAACAAGAAAGAAAACGTCAGATTTAACGAGGTTCGACAACGTGCCTACATCCTCGGGAGCCACACCACACAATTCTTTGATTAATTGAAAAATATTACAATGCTAGCAATTAGCCTCTCTCTAAGATTTCTAATCTCAAAGAGCCCTCAAAATCCTCTTTTTTCGTGCTCTTTTACTTTCCTAAACCCTTGAGGAATGTGTTTCTATTTATAACAAACACAATCCCAAACAAATTAGAATTCTAAAACGAGTCTGTCACACCCTGATATGACACCCTGATATGACAGACACCACACACATGGCAGATAGGATAGATTCTTCCATACCAGGGTGTGGCAGACACCACACCCATGGCAGACATGGCAGATTCTGCCACACTAGGGTGTGACAGACACGACACCCATGACAGACAAGAGCAGATTCTGCCACACCAGGGTGTGGCAGACACCACATTCATGATAGACAGGGCAGATTCTGCCATACCAGGGTGTGACAGATACCACACCCATGATCTATCTTGAATTTTCATACGATTACTGATTTTGATTCTACGTTTGGGTCTCCACTCTCAAGACCAACAGTTATTGACTAAGCCTAACATTACTTCCACTAAAGGTTTCCTTGATAGTCTATACTAGTCCTAGAGTCAAGAATTCATGCATTTCCAAACAAATACGTGCACTATGAGAAACCAATAAGTGCAAGGTTAAACTTGGCGCAAGTTTTTACTATTCGACAAACTGTCACATGATAAACAAATCCGTTCACCATACTTTATGCATTACTAATACTTGACAGAAACCTTCAAATGGAAAACACCAAAAGTTAATAGCCACAAGCCAAGCTTAGCTAGTTACCAAATTATATAAACCTTGCAAATGCTGTAATGTTCGGAATTGACTATTTATACGAACTTCATGTAAATACATTGAAGCACTCCGCTACATCTAATTATAATATAGTGATCAAATGATAAAGATATTGTCTTAGATATGCCTATGCGCCTATGAAATTCCTAAGTGGAGCCATGAGATGTTGCAAAAAGGGTAATGTTAGAATGGTAGTCTTCCAATGAATCTAATTATAAACTATAGAAAATTCAGAGTATATTTATTTGATATGCACTACGCTCTATACTGGGGAACGATTAATTATAAACTATAGAAAATTCAGAGTATATTTATTTGATATGCACTACGCTCTATACTGGGGAACGATTCTGGCTTCAAGCATTTCTAAAATGAGTATATTTATTTGATATGCACTACGCTCTATACTGGGGAACGATTCTGGCTTCAAGCATTTCTAAAATGCTATGATCCCTCTCATATCTTGCACTCATTTCTAACATATTTGTGCCTAAGACGCTAATAATAAAATATACTATTCTAACATTTGAACTCTGGTGTGTTTGCTATAGGGGAATAAGTGGGGATGGAATTATCATTCTCACTTCTCATTCATGCATACCAAACATACCAATATGAAAATATAACATCCTTCTGGAAGCTAGAATCTCCATTCTTAGTTCTTCTTCATTTCCATATATTGTGAGAATGGACATTTCCTAATGAGTTGGTAGGGAATGAGCACTCCCACTTAGGGCCTGTTTGGTCTGAGAAGAGTATTGCAAGTCGTAAATAGATGAAAGAAGTAACTTCTAAATTTATGAAGAAGGAAGTAGTGTGAATAATAATTTTTTTGTTTGTTTCACATATTTTTTAAAGTAGTAAAAATAGTATATCTTATTCTTCATTCCTTTTTTTTTTTTTTTGGATAACAATGAGAAGTCGTTCGGAAGTAATAACAACAAGAAAATATTAATAAGAAAATTTATTTATTTCCCAATTAATGCACATTTCATCCACTATTGCGCTACTTCAAAACCTTGAGGGGCGGGAAACCATTTAAGAAGTAGGGATGACATGTCGGCACTACATGAGCGTTTAAGGAAGTATTAAAAATAAGTTTTTAGAGAAACAAACATATTTCTTTGCCCGGAAGTAGCAGAAGTAGCCTCAATTTTGTTTACTTCAGCTACTTTATAACTAATTCCGTGCAAACAAACAAGCCCTTAAGTGAGAATGAAAAATTAAATACATACATAATATTCCAAAATTATTTAATTATCCATACCAAAAGTAAAACGATGTCATTCCCACTCTAGTCTCTAATCACATCCAACGTAAGAATGGAAATTAGCATTTTGTACCCACATTTATTCCATTTCATTTATTGCTCAATTCCCTTCTCATTTGATATTATTCTCACGAACCAGACTGTTAGGTCTCATGTTTATGAACCTACCATCTTATCTAGTTTTGATGATTAACAAACAATTCCTAACATCGTTTGTCGAGTGTTTGTATTCACGTGTTAGGTATTCTACACAAAGATCCTTTGTTGGATGTTGGATGAACTTGCGCCTACACGATCATATTCATTGGAGGATGGAAGGAAAAGTGGAATGAAGCAACTTGCATTTCAAGTCAAAGACTCTATTACACTTCATCCATGTTACCAAGATCGAGCGTCATGAAGATCATTGTTTGGTAAAGTGTTTTTAGGTTTAGGAATTATATACTATGTTTAAATACTTTAAGCCCAATATCACACACATGTATTTCTTGTTTTTATCAAAATATAGGTATATTTGAGAAAATATTGTGTTTTTAGTTTATGGACAAAATAATCATTGTATACATCTTTTATTAAGTCTATAAATCAATTTAAAAAGATTTCATAACATGGTTTAAGTCATATGTCAAAAATCAAATGTTTTAAACGAACACGTATTTGTGAGTTTTTGCAAAATGAAGAGTTTTCACAAATAAAAAATGATATTTCAAAATTTTCTTTTACAATATGTTCATTTTCATGTTTATAAATATTTCTCCAAATTTTATATTTTTTGGAAATTATTTGCTATTTTTAAAAGGGGTTCAAAGTTTAATTTTACTGTTCATAACACATCATGTGCACGTTATCAGTCGACTGTCAACCGAAGAAAGTGACTAGAATAAGCAAAAATCTTTGCTCGGTCGACTGATGAACCATCAGCCGACCGAGCAGGTCATCAGTCGATTGATGATTTCATTAGTCGACCGATGAAGGATGAGTGGCCTCTAACGGTCAGCTCATCAGTCGACTGATACTGTTAATCAGTCGACTGATGGTATTGTAACGACTAGTTTTTTCACTTTGCTGATTTTTCGAGTTTTTATCTTTTTGCTTGGTTTTTCTTGATTTTTGGCTTTGTTTTGTGATTCTATATATACCCCTTGCTTACAAACTTCTGAACCAACCAAGAAAAACAAAAAACAAGTTTTGGACAAGTTTGTTTAAAGGTTTTTAAGTGTTTTCAAGTTTGTTTATGTGATGAGGATTTCACAAGAGGAGGAGATCGATATTTTCGTGTTTAGGGTTCAATCTCAAATCCCTCTCTTGTTTTCAGATAAGTTTTACTAAACTTGATTTCTAGCTTATAAATATATATATATTGTTGATTATTATTTCATTAAGCTAGATTTTATAATTGAGTTTAGTTGTTATTATTGCTCATTGATCACACACACCACATATTGAGCTTTTAGCATTTCATACATTATATATTTGGGTTGTGATGAGTGATTCATTGAGAGTGAGCTTAATTGAGTTCTCATCTTGTTAGAGAACAAAACTATTTGTATTTGTGAGATTATTTGTCGAGATCACATTGTAATACACAAGGACACCGAGAGGGGTGGTTGGGAGAGACGTGGTCAATTTAAGAGGAGTGACGTTTGTAGTAAAGCCTAGTAGAGATGGTAAATCCAAGCACTTGAGTAAGGTGATACAAGCTAGGTTAACACTTAGAGGGTGTATTGTGTGATTGCAAGTGTGTGAGCTGTAAACGTTTATCGGTGAGCGTTGAAAACCGATTGTGTAGATTGAATTATGATAGTGTAGATTCTCCTCGAGGGTGGAGAGCGGAGACGTAGGTCGAGGGTGACCGAACTCCGTGATCACATTGGTCGTTTGCAATTGCATTGGCGCACTTATTCTCTTTTATATTTATATAGCTTTCGCCTCATGTTTATTTCGTCCTTAGTTTAATTTCATATCCTTGCATATCTGACTTATATACATCATTTGCTAGCATATTTGTTAATTAGTTTTAAATTGACATTAATATCGGATTAGATTAGCAAATAACTTATTCACCCCCTCCCCTCCCCTAGGGTAATTTCACAAACGAGGTGTTAGCATATATAAACTCATCTAAAATCAGACTCTTCTGACTGGCTCATGCTACAGCCTTAAATCCTCTACTTTTATGCTTTAAATGCTAATTCACAACCCGAATGATTTATTTTCCATATATATATGTGTATATGTGTGTGTGTGTGTATTAATGGGAATAAAGTTGGAGAGAGAAATCCCGACCATGGGAAAATCCTTCTGATAGGATACCCTAATATATGATATATATAGATATATTATATATATGTATATATATAATGTAGATATAATAATAATATTATTATAATATATATAGTATATATATATCAATTGGGGTCGCTCCGTCGCGCCTGTATTTGCCGGCCGACAGCGAAATGGACGGCTAAGTTGTCAGCCGGCAAAAGGTGACTAGGTGACGTTTGTGGTCCGTTCGGACTGTCCAACCGGTTGGCCTGGTTGGGTCGTAACGGCCAAAAAACAGCTTTTTTATTTTTTTCTTATCAAAATACCCCAAAAACGGTCAAAACGATCAAATTTTGAGGGAATTTTGGTCATTTGCCTAGGGGGATGCCTCTATAAATAGAATGGATTTTTATTTATTTTTCTCATCCAAAACTTATCTACTTCTCTCTAATACTCTCTAATTCTTCAATCAAATGACTTCCTCCTCTGATTATGAAGGGAAAAAATCAATTCTCGATCTTGAAATGAGTCCTACTACAAGAGCTATAGCTACTCCTACTCCTAACGATGTTGGTCCCAACTCCGATGGTGACGATTCTGTACCAAGAGCTCCTAAAATGCCAAGATCTGATGTGTGGAATTTTTTTAAGAAGATAAACGTTACCAGGAATGAACACGGTAGGCTTCTCACTTAGAAGGCTAAGTGTGTGTTGTGCGGCCATATTTTCCAAGCTCATCATAAAAGCGGCACCAACCACCTCAAACGCCATTTAGATAAACACAACAAAGGTCAAACTCCTCCAAGTGATATCCGACAATCTTTACTCTCCCTATCCTCATCTTCTGATAGTCTCGGTCGTTGAAATTATGACGCAATCCGAGCCAGAAAATGCGTCATCATGTTTATTATTCTTAAAAACTTTCCTTTTAAATCAGTAGAATATGATGAATTTGAAGATATATTTACAGATGATTTTTATCCCGCATTTAAAAAAAAATTCTCGCTAAATTTGTCGATGTGATATTTTAAAATATTATCAGGAGAAATAAACAAAATTAATTTCTTATTTTCAAAGTTTAAATTGTAAATTTTTTTAACTTATGATATTTGGTCATCTAGAGCATAAACTGGTTATTTATGTATCATAGCACACTAGATTGATAATAATTAGTAAATGTTTAAAAGAGTTATTTCTTTTATTGCATTTAAAGTCACATACTGGTATTAATATTGCAAATTTAATAATTGAAGAAGTTATAAAATTAAAATTTTTAGAAATAATATTTTCTCTTTCACTAGATAATGCAAGTAATAATAATATAGCTGTGGATTATATCAAAACATCTCTGCTATTGCCATGTCATGGTGATATTTTTTATATTAGATGTGTGTGTCATGTTTTAAATTTAATTGTTTAAAGTGTATTTAGTGAAATTAAATTCATGATAGAAAAAGTTAGGACAATAGCTTATGTTCATAATACTATTGAACAAAGAATTAAAAGATGGAAACAATTCTGTAAAAGAAAAAATTTAAAATCCAGACTAATTTCAAAAGATATTGACCCTAGGTGGAATTCTACCTATGTAATGTTAAATGTAACAAATAGAATATAAAAAATTTATAACTAATTTAATTACTTTTTATACATCTAGTTCTAGCTCTGGTAGTATGTATGGAATAACTGAGGATGAATGGACAGTTATATATAGTGTAAAAGAAATATTACAAATTTTTTATGATGCTACTATGTTATTATTTGGTTATTATTATCCAACCATTACTATAGCTGCTTTACAAATTTAAATATTCAAAAAAAATTAATAAATATTGTATGGATAATTATTTTAAAAGTATGATTTTCCAAATGAAAATAAATTTAATAAGTATTTTAAGTATATTCCAATTATATTTTATTTGGGAGTTCTTATTAATCCATGTTTGAAGGATATTGGCCTTCGAAGTTTATTAAATTCTTTATATGATAACATGGTAATAGACACTGATGATGGTCAAGTCGTTACTGTTCTTACTCATCATAATACTATAAGAAATTATTTTCAAAGATTATATGATGAGTATGCAGCTAAATATAGTGTAAGTGCACATCAGTCTATAGTTTCTGCTTCTACGAGTTCAAGTCGAGGCAAAAGTGTGAGTTTTGATAGGCAATCAATGCTAGTTGAACTAACTTGTGGATCTGGACTTGGATCATCAACGGAGGTTTCTAAAATTGATCAATATTTAACTACATATTTAGTTAAATGTTAAAATAATAATTTAGATATTTAACAATGATGAAAAGTATATGTAATAGTTTCATATTTTATATTTTTCATCATGGTTCGTGACTTACTAATAGTACAGGTTTCCACGGTAGCTTCGGAATCCGCCTTCAGCACAGCAGAATATTTGATCGATGATCATAAGACATCATCAGATCTATATACCGTACAGGCGGTAATGTACCTATAAGATTGGTGGAGATACGAGAAGAGAACGCAAGACATCGATAGGATGGCTGATATTAAAGATAAATTTGAAAAGTTCGGACTAGCAGATAGATATAAAAATTAGACATTACTCATCAATTTGTAATTTTTATTTAATAGCTAAAAATTTATAATAATTATTTTGGAAACAGTTGCAAATGATAGTGATATAGATGAGTAGGTGCAATAGCTAAAAATTTATAATAATTATTTTGGAAACAGTTGCAAATGATAGTGATATAGATGAGTAGGTGCCAACCAAATTGGGATGTATTCATCTATTTGGAAACAGTTGCAAATGATAGTGATATAGATGAGTAGGTGCCAACCAAATTGGGATGTATTCATCTAATGTTATGCGATGAATTCCAAAATAAATTTATAATTGTAGATGATTAATTGATTATTAACAAAAAAAGTTATTTTATCATTTTAATTTTTATAACTTTTTATTAAAATTTTGTTTAATTTTTTACTATTTATTCTTAAAATTTTAAAAAAAATAAAAAAATTAAAAAATATAAAAAAACGGGTCGGCCCTGTGCTCAGGCCCGGGCCAACCTAGCCCGACCAGGCCCCGATTTTACCTAGTCTAGACCTGGGTTTCCAGGCCAGGCCGGCCTATTTGGACAGTCTTATATATATACTTTTAATACTTATCTAATTTTTTTCAAAGTCGCTTCCTATGTATGTAGGCTTTTAATACTTCCCGACTTATTTATACCTTTAATACTTAACTAATTTTTTGGAGTCCCTTCCTATGTATATAGGCTTTTAATACTTCCTAACTTTTATGGTTTCATTTAGATCATGATTTTCTATTTATGGCCAATTCATATGCCATACATCCCTCTAATAGTTCATGATGCCATATTTATCAACATTCCTAATAAAAGCAGGAATTCTTTTTATAAGTCTCCTCATTTTTCTAGTCTCCATCATTTTTCTCAGTCTCTATCGATCTCTAGTTTTCCCCCCAAGGTATCTCCTCTCTTCCAATTTGTTTGCTGAGTATATCTGTTAACTAGAATTTTCATGTATTCTTTGCATTGCTAAAATCCTATTCAATCTACTTAGTAATATCATATTTATAAAATGTCTTATCTAACTGTACTATGACAACATCCAAAATTTCCAATTTACTACTTCAATCTGTGATTTCTCATTCATCGATGTTAATAAGGTCCTACTGTTTAGCACTACTTTAGGATGACCTTAGTTTTATATTTTCAATGTTAATCCTGATACCCGAATTCCTATTACTTCGTTCATATAGGAAAACCTTTAATACTTACTATATTTTTTCCAAGTTAATTTAATCATAATTATCTGATCACATCCTTTTGATACCCGAGTTCCTATTACTTTGTTCATATATGCAAACCTTTAATACTTACTATATTTTTCCCCTAGTTCATTTAATTATAGTTATCTAATCACATCTTTCTTTTAGAGTCTAACGCATATGTCTATATACACCTCTCTTTGTTTCATCGTTATAATAAAAAACAACAGCACTTCTGTTTATTTACTCATAAGCCTCAGCCAAGGATATCTTCTCTCTTCCTATTTCCTTTCTTTTATGCATATTACATACAATCTGCTTTGTCTCAGCTTCTCATCATGTCCTTACTCCATTTCTTTGGGGTTTCAAATGTAAAAAAGTAACAATAACAAAATGACATGCATCGCAAATGTGGTCTATCCCTAACCCAAAAAAACATATTGGTTTTAACCTGTAAATATTATTTTGTCTCAATTCTAAAGTTCTTGATAGTAGAATTTTTTGATCTTGTGATTGTATAGGTTTTTGACTCGTGAATTCTTGCAGGTAGAGGTTGTTGATACATAAGTAACATGGTACCAGTATGGATTAAATGCTTCGTTATTCTGGCTGTAGTTTTTGCTCATCAAGTCATACATACAAGTAAGTGATTGTTTTCTTCACAGTTCATAAATGCACACGGTGCACGCATAAAGAATCAGTTCTTAAACGAATATAATTGAGCACATCCAAATTGATGAATCCAAAAAGCGCATACCACATCCTAGGTTCATGTCACTTGCGGTAGATTGAGAAACAAAAAAAAGGAGAAAACATTTCTGTTAGATACAGGTACATTTTGCAAATTTCTTTTACAAGGGGTTTATATATAAAGATGTATTTTTTTGGTCTGCGATACATGGAAACGCCTGCTATTTTATACAATTTTCTGAATGGGACAATCTTAAGGTCGTTCAATTTTAGTTAAAATTTAAATTACAAGTAAAGCTCAATTACAAGGAATTTTAATTTATAATGATTTATTGACCTAGAATGCAGAAGTTATTTTATAGGATGTCAATTAAAAATACTTAAGGTTTGGGATAACCAGGCCAGGTGATCCATCACACACCAGAAATGATGGACGTTTTTTTTTTTTTTAATAATGAATGAAATTTTGAATTTTAAGGTCTAATTCTGCTGAAAGAAACATAATTTTTCCAACATAAACATAAAACTTAAATCTATGTTCGAACTGTGAAAGATACTTATTATAAGTTTAAAAAAAAGTCTAGTCCATCAGGCTTGTATGATTCTCTCTAGTAAATATGTGTGCTAATGTCTTTAATTATTTGAAGTTATTATTGTACTAAAGAATTTATGATTCAAGATGGTTGTCTAATTAAGTACACATACATCTTTTAGGACAAATTAACTTTAACAAAAAATGAACTGCAGGAAGCATAGGGGTTTGCTTTGGGATGCTAGGGGACAATCTACCATCCCCAGCCGACGTTGTTGCTCTCTACAAGAAAAACAATATAAACTCAATGAGAATTTTCAACCCTGATCCAGCAGTACTAAATGCTTTGCAACAGAGTGGAATTAATCTGGCCATAGGCACAACAAACGGAGACATTCCCAATCTAGCAGTGAGCCCAAATGCGGCACTTCAGTGGGTGAATACCAACATTGTCCCTTACCCAGATGTAAAGTTTCAGTATCTTACAGTTGGTAACGAGGCTATCCCTGGAGAAAATGCTCAATACATAGCTCCAGCTATGAAAAACCTCCGAGATGCACTTAACTCGCTGCAATTGGGTGCTATAAGCGTGACAACTGTAGTTCCCAGCACTGTACTTGGCACATCCTACCCTCCCTCTGCAGGCTCCTTCTCAAGTGAAACCATTAGCGACATGACCAATATCATATCGTACTTAGCCACTTATGAGCCTGAGAACCCCAAGCGCACTCTCATGGTTAATGTGTATCCTTATTTTGCATATGTGGCAGACCCAGTTCATGTTTCATTAAATTTTGCGCAATTTACCGCCACAGCCCCAGCTTTTAATGATACAGGCTTACAATATTGGAATCTATTTGATGCTATGGTGGATAGTTTCTATTCAGCTATGGAGAGAGTTGGAGGGACAAATGTTGCAATAGCAATATCTGAGAGCGGTTGGCCTTCAGCTGGCAATGGAGAGTTTACGACAACTGCTCTAGCTCAGACGTATAATTCGAACCTCATGAATCACGTTGCTAAGGGTGGAACTCCGAAGAGGCCTACTGATTTGCTGGATTCCTTCTTGTTTGCGATGTTTAATGAGGATCAAAAGCAACCGGGAGTTGAGCAAAATTTTGGTTTATTCTACCCAAACGAGCAGCCTGTTTATCCTTTATTTTAGAATGATATTTGTGTACCCGTTATTCTAGAATGCTCCTTGTTTATTTTCCCTCATGTAATAAAGAAAAGAAATGTTTTTCCCCGACTAACATCAGTGCCATATTCATCATCATCAGAAATATGGTTTTATCAAATCACATATTTCTGCTAAAAGTGCTATAAATTCTCTTAGATGTATGCACAAGTATCTCCATACTTGCATGGGTTTTTTTCGTTGATCCCTAGATTAGAATTGATGGGAAAATTTCCTCTAAAATCATAATTATTTTCTCAAAAGACCTACAGATAAACGTAAAAATGCCCGATACCAGACCAACGCCTATCATTTTCCATGATCTTTGAATGCTATTCTCTCATACAGTAATCCCAAGGGTCATCTCCTCCAGTAACTTAATCATAATCATCTCCTACCCTTGTTAATGCCATGATGGAAAAAAAGAAAAGAAAGAGAAAAAGAAAAATCAAACTCTGACGCTTTGAATGACAACAGATACTTAGAATTCATCGAGTTTAACTTCTGAAAACAAACAAGTAGAGGAATTTGAGCAGCACCTAGAAAATCCAGCAAACTCTAATATAATGAAGAGAGCTAACTATATGCAAAGCACATAAAAATCCTCAGGAAAAAATTCGTAGAATTAAAGAAACTAGAAGTATTAAGAATCATACCTCGGCGTCTAAAGATTCGTACTGTAATCCCAACAGTGAAAACTTTCTCTATTTAACACTTTGGGTCTCCATTTCATAGAGAGGAATTCTTTGAGACAATTCATCGAACAGGTGATGTGCAAAGTTACCGCAGGAGAAAGACAGAACAAGTTGTCAATTTTCGGCCCCAAGCTATTGTAAATTTAAATTTGCCCCTCAAATTATTTACCTCAACTTTACCCTGTGCCCTAAACGGTGTTAAAATTGAAGAAATTTTCTAAATAAACCTGTTTATATTTTTTTTCTAAAAATAGACCCCCTTGAGTTTTATTTACAAAAATAGACTCATTTTGTCTTAATCCAGTTCCTAAATAGTCGGGATTGTCAACCCCGACTATTTAGGAACCGGATTAAGACAAAATGGGTCGATTTTTGTAAAAAAAACTCAATGAGGTCTATTTTTAGAAAAATAATTATGAACGGGTTTGTTTAGAAAATTTCTTCTGTTAAAATTTTAACTTGTTGTAGGGTACAATTACCTATATATCCATATATTGTTTTTTTCTAAATCCACAAAATAAATATAAACTCATTGTAATTTTAAAATAAATCTTCATTTCTGTTTCTTATTCCGTCGTTAACATTTTCATTGACTTGGTCAGTGTGGGGAGGTGAGGGACGCGGACGCTATCTTTTTTTTTTGTGATAACAAACCAGATGTAGAACTTTATGTAATGGATATAATGAACTTAGATTAATTTTTTGCACTTTTTAGACTAACAATAAAAAAAAGGATTTGCCCAAACAGTCAGAATAAGGATATATGTAGGTAGTTTTGCCTTAAAAACCGTCAACATCGTCTCAAGGTTAGGGGTAATTTTGAACGGAGGACACAATTTGTGGGGCGAATTTATAATTACAATGATTCGTGGGCCAAACTTAACAATACCCATGACCAGGAGGGCACATACCCAAAAAAAAACAAAAAGTAAAAGGTAAAGAAAAGGATGCCAGTTTTCTCAAGCAATTGCTTCAACTGGAGGTATACGTTCACAGAGTTGTCTACTCCAGAAACTGGAATACTACAGAAATTGGCAATAAATAAACAAATAACAAAAGTTTGCATACGGCACCAAATAACTTCTCTAACGACTCTGTTCATCAATAACGAAACACTTGATCCCCATTTACTGTAATTTGGAACCGGAAGAATAACGCACATGGTTCACACCAAACGCCTGACCCTTTTGTTCACCGTAATTGAAACTGGAATGATGTAAGTTACACAAACAAAAGTAACATGCAAATACAGATACAAATACAACTAGGCCGAACTACAAACCCCTTGCGGCTGAGAAATGATGCAAACATGTAACGAGAAGATACAGGGGAGCGCCTAACATTTTACACTTTCTTTTACTTTGTGCTGAACATATTTGCGACGCTTCTCTTTGAGGAATAAGATTACACTTGCTCCAGGAAAATCAACTTTGTGCTGAACATATTTGCGACGCTTCTCTTTGAGGAATAAGATTACACTTGCTCCAGGAAAATCAAAACACAACATATAGTACTTAAGTTCCACAAGCCATAGAGCTTCTGGCTACGATAAAAACGAAAGCCAAAGCAGTACCTAGTAGTCAACTCCTAGGAATCTGGAACTGAACTCACATTGACCTTCAGCTTGAATACTGCTTCCACACCCGTAGTCAACTCCTAGGAATCTGGAACTGAACTCACATTGACCTTCAGCTTGAATACTGCTTCCACACCCCGAGATATGAGAATTTATGTACACTTTTTCCCCCTCCCTAATATATACAATCGAACAATGACTAAACTACATAAGGTTAGGCAGTGGAAACTAGGCCTTGCTCGTACATCCGCTGGATCTCTTCCCTATATTCTGTCAGAGATTTATCAGGTATAGCGGGTGTAAGCTCCACAACATCCCCCATCTTGAGAGTTTGGTATTCTGTCAGAGATTTATCAGGTATAGCGGGTGTAAGCTCCACAACATCCCCCATCTTGAGAGTTTGGCTCGGGTCTCCAACTGGTTTATGGTTTAGCCTTGGCCTAAGCTCCTCCTTTACCGGGAAATTATAAAGGCTCCTCCTTGTGCTTCCTCTTCCCGATCTTTCTAATAAATCCACTATCGTTGAGTTAGCAGGGAACTCCTGTACTGACATCTGCAAAAATTGTATGCAGCATTATTAGCTTACAGCTTAAGCAGCTTAACGCTTCAGAATTAACAGAAGCCTTTCTCACTAGCACCTTACGTTTCCATCCCAAAATTCCCGTTCCACAATGTACTGAAAGCATAATGATAATGACGGCTAACGGCAACCCCATGGCGATTGTCATTTAGAGAACATCAACAAATCATGTAATCTTATCATTATTCATTACATGTGCAAATCAGTCCTAACCTCTTCACGATCGCGAGAAGATCAACGATTACAGATTAGCACTTGGAAAAGACCAATGCAATTATTGGCTTCATAAATATGCTCCCTTGTTTAAAACATTTTCATTTATTATTGGTTTTAACTAAGTCTATTCTCTCCTCAGCATGTTGCTTTCATTATTTCGCGAAGTTTGAGTCCAGCGGATTATCCGTCGGTTGGTTCCTCTCGGCCTTTTTCCTTCTAAGGAATCGCTCAGCCTGCTCCCCTCGAACCTTCAGATCCTGGCACGTTTTGGACGGTGCTGTGCCCATTGCTTCCAACACGTCCAGCGAAAGGTTGTTGTGGCATGTCTGGATGCTCCCTTGTTTAAAACATTTTCATTTATTATTGGTTTTAACTAAGTCTATTCTCTCCTCAGCATGTTACTTTCATTCTTTCTTCATCTAAAATATGTTAATTTCTTAAGGTTTTGCTCCACAGCAGCCACACACAAACTAGAGATAACCTTCCTGCAGACAGCTGATTTTGAAATAGGCCTACAATTATAGAACTTATTTTGTGGTCAATGCGACACAAGTCCTCTTATTCCTAAGAGGTTGAAGATGTGATGCACTTATTATGGACATGCAGTGCACGCAAAGGAGAACAAAACAGGAGAAGAGACAAAAAAAAGTATATAATTCAGGATGGTGGAGGCACTATGTGTATACAACATCTGAGTAAATTGGAGTAACAAAAAAAAGTATATAATTCAGGATGGTGGAGGCACTATGTGTATACAACATCTGAGTAAATTGGAGTAACGAATTACATGAGTCAAACATGACAACTGATCTCCTAAACTTAAGTGTCATATGAGGGTCATCTCTCCTTTGAGAAGGGACTCATGGTAAACATTAACCAGCTTATTAGTCCTGCCCAATGTTAAACTAAAAGAAATATCTCAATACATGAAATACACTAACTACATCTGCATTCAGCCATCAACATATAAATTGTTGCCAACCATCTATAGAAATTTAACAGATAATCAGAGTAACACATTAAAAAACTGTCAAAATGCACAAGTATCCAGTAGACGAATAAGGAATGTCTACTGCAAGGGGCAACTGTTTGTGAGTGATTTCAGGATACTGATAGAAGAGGAACTCACCTTCTCATTCTCCAGCAGGATGACAAAGATGGGTCCATCATGATCGCATTGCCGACTGTAAGAATAAGGGCAGTCAGGAGAGTGAGATGGAAAAGGGCATCTTGGTCTAACCGAATCAGAGTCGTATGCTGGGAGAGACCGGTCTTTGCTCATAGCTTCACACTGCCAATTCACGACCCATCTAGCCCATTCTACCATCTGTAACACGAACGAGGAATGCTGGCAATCACCTTCCTTATACCTCCAGTGAGCAGCAAATCCAAATTCTGCTTGTAGATGCATCTCCTTTGTTCGAATTTGAACTTCTAATGGAAGTGTATTTTCACCCATAACAACTGTGTGTATGGACTGGTACCTGGAAGCAAACATTACTTTTAAAGACCAAAAACAAGACTCAGAACTGCACTAGTAAGTTTCTGTCTGTCAAAACTTACCCATTAAATTTAGGATGGATTATGTAATCCTTGAGCCTACCAAAAACTTGGGGCCATAAACGGTGAACAACATCCAGTGCTTTGTAACAATCCTCCTTTTTGTCAACGATCAGACGTAATCCATGAATGTCATGAACCTCGTCCATTGTAAGTTTCTTCCTGGGAAATAGATTGTCCCCAAAAATCAATTAGCTAATTGCTCATCAAGCTCCCAGATAAACAAGTGAGATTAAAACAAAACATGGTAGTTGGATAGGTATTAGGTAGATATGAGAGAGAAAGTATACTTTAGCATCTTGGAGTAAATACTATACAAGCTCTTGTGCCTCCCTGATAGAACATGATAAGAAACACCTTCATCCTTGAGAGCCTTTTCAAACTTTTCCACAGCAGACGAAATCAATGCTTCATCAAAGGAATTCACAAGCTTGGAAGATAGGTCGTTATACTGCTCTGGATAAAGATGCTTGAAGCAAAGATTTTCTAGCTTCTCCTTCCAACTAAAAATCCCCAATCTATTCGCTAAAGGAGCAAATATCTCCAGAGTCTCCTTTGCAAATCTCTGCTGCTTGTCAAGGGATAATGCTTCCAAGGTCATCATGTTATGAAGTCTGTCAGCAAGTTTGATAAGTACTGCTCTGGCATCTGCCATAGCAAGAAACATAGTGTGTAATCGATCAGCCTCCACTGTTTTGCTTGCAGTGTCATTATCACGAGCCAACTTGCTCAGTTGACTGAGCTTAGAAACCTGCATCAAAAGACAACCAGCAGTGGTAGTTAGAAATATATATACATCTGGTATAACTGACAACAGAATCCGTGTTCCAGATATTAACACGAGTCTCCCAGGTATACAGTGATTACTACCCAGACAAATAAAGAGTGATACCATTTCCTACTAAACACATTTTCTATACTGATGCTAAAACAGCATGTAATAAGTAATTGAGGTTGGCATTAGTATCAAAAGAGAATAATGAGTTATTTTGCATATCGTACTGCATGAATATCACAAGTTTCAGGCTAGGTAGAGAACTGTAGAAAATATTAAGAGCAAAACATCATTAAGTTCAATGATGACGTTAGTTACCAGTTTGTTTAAAATTCAACAACAAACATCTTGAAAGCTGAGATGATAATGAATTGCGCTTTGTGCAAACTGGACTATCTACCGCTACAACTGTCTTCAAAATTGAAACAATATAGGTAACGAATATGTTGACAAATATCCTCGACATTCATTTTATATGAAGAAGAAAAGAAGGAGAAGAACAAGAAGTGGAAAATATCTTCACTATATCCTTTGAATTCTTTCAACTCACCATAGCAGACAAGCATCTTGAACCGATAGCAGATAATACCCAGTTAATATAATACTTCATTAACCAAATAATGTGCATGGAAAAATATGTGCAACAGATTCAATGGGCTAAAAGGACAGTGTATACTGAACTACACAATATAACATAACGCGGAAGATAATTAACAATGCATTACAGCAAAAGAAGGAAATAAATGGGCATACCCCTTCAACCAGATCAGCCACACCTGCTCCAAACATCCGGAAAATATAATCATAATTCATAAAAGAATCATCAAGAGTATCATGTAGAAGCCCTGCAGCCACAACTGTAGCATTAGCACCAATCTTTGCTAACAATTCCGCTGTCTCCACACAATGCAGCAAGTATGGATCTCCGCTTGCTCTCATCTAATTAACAAAAGTATAACAAATCCATATTTCAATTTCACAAACCATAGATCAACAGTTGCAACAAAGCAGCCAAATGAAGAAAGAGCAAATCAGAACAATACCATCATAAGAACAAACCCTTCCACAATCATTTAAAACATAAAAGGAGAAAATTTTCACCTGCCCCCTGTGAGCTTTCTCAGCTTCATAAAATGCCTTGACCACAAGCTCCTCATGGAAAATGGTATGCCTCGACTGCGCTCCCAACAGAAAATCCCTTGCATACTTCTCGCAATCCAAATCAACCAAACTCTCATCATCCAAATCAAACGTCAACTCCTCCACATCAACTCCCCCTCCAAAACCCACGGAATTACTAAAATCTAAACAGGATCCCAAAGCATTCCTCACAAACCCACTAAATATCCGATCTTTCCTCCAATCCCTCGGAATTCTCATCAAAGGCGAGCTCTTCGACGACCCAGTACACGAAACCGGCCCATTGAAGACCGAGATGGGGCTCGGATCACGACATTTGAAGGAGCTAGAGTAAGAAGAGTAAGAGAAAGAGCTTGAGAGATCCTCAGACCGATCGTGCCATAGAGAATTGAGATCCTCGTTGTTGCTGATCGAGTGGCGAACCGAGGGAGAGGACGAGAACAAGCAGGAGAGCCCGCCGGCGATCGGCTTCTGAGCTGAGCTAGGGTTAGGGTTCAGATCGTGATCCGGAGAGCAGTGGGACGACGACGAGGCGATCGACGAGCAGACAGAGCTCGGCGGGCCGGCGTAGAGCGCGATGGCGGGAACAGACATAGCGATGCCCTAATTGGCGAGAGAATTGGCGGAATTAGGTTTTGAATTTGGGGATTTTGAGGAGACGGGGTTGAATTTTTGAATCCCTAGACTGCGTGAAAATTGGGGATTTTTTTTTTCTTCTCGCTGATTTCGGTTTCTTGTGCTTGCGGAGAGGAATCTGGGATTTCGCTCTCATTTGTTCTAGACCATAGGAGAGGGTAGATGGAAAAGACGAAACTACCCTTGTGGATCTTTTTTGCGAAAGCTGCCCAATAATAAACGGATGCTTTAAGGGAACTAATTATGGAAAAGTTTGGTAGTTACGTTACTCGCTCCTTGATAAGTAAACATTGTTAGATAATTATAAACGAACCTGTCAAAAAATAGCACACAATCACCTTTTATTAAAAATATATATAAAATTTAGTGGATGCTTGTGATTCATCTGGAGTGGAAACGAGAATGAATGTAAATCATGATGATATAGTCAATGTACGATTTGAATTTTGAAATAAATAACAAGTTAACAACCTTATAAAGACTAATGAATATTGTGATTAAAAACATATTATTCATCTTGTTTACATCAGAAAAAAGTCCAATTTCGTAGAAATAATATTAAAAAAATCTATATCAGCTAATTAACGATAGATCTTAATTATATGTTTTGAAAGAATCTCAATTGTTTGAATAGCAATTTATGGCAATATTTAAAAAATTATGTTCTATTTTTGTTGTTGAAAAAATTCACATTCATGTCAGTAAATGTTTAAAAAAGTTACTTTTGAGACGAAGACATAACCTGTGTAAAAATTGATTTCGATAAAGCTGAATCGAATCAAACTAAAACGTGATCACAAAATACAAATGTTCACGATTGTCATGAAAATGACAATGTATCTGTTGTGGTGATTTTAGTTGTCAAATTATGGCTCTTTGCCAGCAACGGACATGTGTCCCTCTACATGCACCGCTCAAATCGAGTTGACTGTCAAGACCATCAAAAATCTTGACTTAGCCGACTCGTCGAGTCAACGTCTCCTTATGTCGACTCGACGGACGGTACTTGTCGGTCCTCCCTCGCTGACAGCGCATCGGCGTCACATTAAATGCTTGGCAGGCGCCATCATTTCTCTATCCTCGACTCTATTTATGACACATCGGACCACATCGACTTTGTGCGCCGCCCGTCGCGTATCATTAATGCGAAAATAATAGCGCTCATCTCCTATCTGATCCACAACCGACACCTATAAAATATATAGATACTGACTCAGCCGTCTGCTCATGCTCGGCCAAAAAAACTAGACTACCCCTCTTGCTTGGCTATAAAAAAAACTATTCCAAATACAAGGGTAAGCAATTTCTTAGTATTTTACTCCATTCCGCTGTATTTTTCTCATATTCCAACTCAAGCAGTTAGCTGATTTGATCGTTGGATGAACAACAGGGGAAGCAGCCCCCGTCTTCTTACAAGTTGCTATGCGTACAGAGACGAACAACCCAACTCTAAATCAGATAATCGGAAAAACGAGCGACTCCCATATCAACCCAAACTCTATTACCTTCTGACTGTGTAATTTAAACCATCAACAATATCAATAAAAAAATTAATAATAGTTAAGATTTTACTGCTGTTCTAGAAGATGATAATTATATATCATTAGCATAAAAGTCATAGATAAAGAAAAGAAGAATAAGCCAAAACTAAAAATAAGTCTGAATAGTTAATCATATCTCATTTCTCATACTTTACAAATAATTATTCTCTTGTTAATGAATGGTGGCAACAAGACTATTTTCTATTCTCTATCAATCAAGTCACGCTTCTACCCTTTAGATATTTGAAAAAGAAGAAGGCATTGCTTAGTGGAATCTTGACACAATCCTAACTAATATCTTAATCAAATTATTTACTTTAGAAAAAAGTTTGTGTCAATCTCGTGGACACTAGAAAGATGTTAAGTACAGTACCATAAGCAAATATTGATAATTAAACGTTATTATCTTAATCTCCAGTTGCCAAACTTTCATCTCTTGTTCCTTTAATCCTTTGTTAAGCCAACTAAAGCCCAATTAAATTGGAGAAGAGCTTTGAAGGAGTAAAATGGTCATTTGTCCCTTGCGTATTTACTAATTACTAGACACGTTAAATATTGACAGTTACAGTTCCCAAATTGAGCTATAAGATTCAGGAAGGCACGTGCCAGAGACTACCAGGACCGTCAACGAAACGTGTATGAACAGGGACAGGCACGTGTCAGTCGTCATTTAGCAAGAGGTTTACGACCTTGCTTACGTCGGCACGTGGCGGTGGACGAAAGGCGCGTAGCTATCGGTCGACCCCGCGTGCACGGCTCGTGCCGTTGATTTCGGGGGTATGGTCACCGCTGGTGGCGACCAGCGCTGATCATCAATGGGAACGTTCGACGTATTATTAAATGTGTCCCAAAAGTAGACCAAATTTTGGATCGTTCAATTTCATAATTTATTTTTAGTTTTAAATTTGGAAAAAATAGAGTAGCGCGCACATTTAATATCATGAACAGGTATTTATTGTCATCAACCAAGGTCTATATAAACATTTAAATGCCATGAATTAGAGTCTATGCCACAATCGTCATTTAGCGCTTGTGTATTTTCACCCTAAAAATGGATTTTGTGAGAGAAAAACCCAAAAAAAAAATAGACATGGCATTCCATACAAACTCGTAAGCGGATTAAGTGTATTATAAGAAAAATTAAACAATTGAAATTAAGGAGACAAAGTGAGCCAGTGCATGATCAATTGACCAATCTAAAAGTATTTATCTTCTATCTACTTATAACTTTTAGTGATTCTAAAAATAAGTTATTTCCATGTGATATTTAGTGCATTACTTCATATATGAAAAGTAGGATACAATTGTTAAAGAAAATGAAAGAAATAGGTAACGAAGAAACTTAGATGGAAAGAAAACTAATAGACGCATATTAATCAACTACCACCAGCAGAAAAATAATCATGATTTATTATAATATCTTCTATATATTTGAGTTCTTAAGAGGCTGTTTGGTTTGTTTTCTAGATATAGGGAAATGCATTTCCATGTACAAAAACACAAGTTTTGAGTTTTCCAAACTTTTCCAAAAAGGGGCTGTTTGGTTCGTTTTTTAACTTGGTGGAAAAGTTTTACACCGTCTTCACATCAGATTTTTCGTGGCCACGTAGGATATAAGCTTTCCGTCGGTTTTTTTTCATCTTTGGTTCGCTAGGGTTGAAGAAGAGAAACTCGGTGAAAATCGCCGCCACATCAGATTTTTTTCTCTCCCCCAATTCCTTCCTCAACCTCGTGAAATCGACAAAAACTGCAGCCACGTCAGCTTTTTGCCATATAAACAAAAATTTTCCCTTTTTCTCCATGCGAACCAAACACAAGAAAAATAAATACACTGGTTTCCTACCATTTTTGTGTGTGAACCAAAGCGAAACAATCTATTTCTTAGAAAAGTTTGGAAAACTCAAAACTTTTGTTTTTTTTACATGAAAATGCATTTCCCTATATCTAAGAAACGAACCAAACAGCCCCGAAATAGATTGTTTCGCTTTGGTTCACATAAAAAAATGGTGGGAAACCAATGTATTTATTTTTCATGTGTTTGGTTCGCATGGGAAAAAAGAAAAAACTTTTGTTTATATGGCAAAAAGCTGACGTGGCTGCAGTTTTCGTCGATTTCACGAATTTGAGGAAGGAATTGGGGGAGAGAAAAAAATCTGATGTAGCGGCAATTTTCACTGAGTTTCCCTTCTTCAACCCTAGTGAACCAAAGATGGGGGAAAAAACGACGGAAAGCTTATATCCTACGTGGCCACGAAAAATCTGATGTGGAGGCGGTGTAAAACTTTTCCACCGAGTTAAAAAACGAACCAAACAGCCCCTAAACATCTAACTTTTGTATTTGGATTCTCTCCAATTAGGTGATAATTACATAAGGTCCAATTACTCAAATTTTAATCATTTATTCCAATTTTAAGGAGTAGGATGTGACCACGTAGGATTTTCATTCTTCACAAAAATGGTTTTCAAGCAACAATGATTTTCTAGATAAAATAATGCTATCTAAGATTTACTTTTTGCAATACCTATACTTGTATTATCTTTGGCCATTCTACTCGAGGACAATGGAAAGAAGCTATGAGCACTACAACAAAAGCTGTATGTGTCAACATTTAATTTATGACACATATAAAAGTGTCGTTTTATTTGTAAAAGATTAAACAATAGTAACACAAATAAAAAGTATAGCCTGACGGTGCTCAACACAACTGTCAACATCGGCCTCCTCTACTTCCTCTTACTCGACACAATCCCTTTGAGTTCCTACAACAGTCTTTTACCGCACTCCGCTTAAAGCTAGGTTTTATGCCGACTCCGACGACGGAGGAGCAGGAGGACGAGTCATCTCCTTCGCCGATGTTTGCGCCTTGGGATTTATCGCCAGCCAGGATTATTTTTTCGCCCAGGGCAAAAAAAATTCCTGGCTACGCCACTGATCCCACGTGACAACATCCTAGTCCATTAAATTGGAATAAACGGCTACGATTTTAATAATTGGACTCTCGCTATTTATTACCTAATTGGAGAGGATCATCATCCCAATTTATATAAAAATATATATAATTAGATAAACTCAATTCCTTTCCGTAGAAGTAAGGAATATTTTCATTTTGAAGTAAGACTAGCCGCCCTTGGATTTTATTCTCGCACGAGAAAGATATTGTTCATTGTAAAAGATTTACAATGATTGCGTGGGAATAGATTAAGATTGGATGATAATGATGTTAAAGTAAAGTAATGTTGGTAACCTTCGCAAAAAGACTTATTAGTATTAGATTAAGGTGATAATTTAATGATCTTAAAAAAAATAATACCACTTTGCACTAGCAATTCACAAGTCTTATTCCTTAAAATTATTCATTTAACCAAACAAAGATCTAGACACAAAAGACTTATTAATATTAGATTAAGGTGATAAGTTAATGATCTTAAATAAAATAATACCACTTTTATTTAACCAAACAAAGAGTTAGACCATGAAGGGGTGGTAAATGATCGAATCGAATTGAATATTAAATTGTTCGTATTTGTATTTTATTAAAATTATCGAATTCAAATGCGGACTCTAATATTCATATATCTAGGTTT